ACAAAAATAAGGTAAATAGTCCAATAATAATAATAATAATATATCAACACAAGTAGAGGTTTATCCTATTGTGGAGTGAAGACTAAAATAAACACCAAGAGAGTCAATCAAGAAGAAAAATGGTTTCTAAATCGTTGGATCTATGCATCCTTCCAATTAATAAATTAATCATTTCAAAAATAATACTTAACATTTTTTCAACCAATGGATCACATTCCTATTGACAATAAAAAAAAAAATCCTTTGTGATCCCTTTGAAGAGTATTTAAACAAAGTTTCTAGACCAAACAAACAAGTAAGGAGATAGACAGCAACATATGACAGCAGCTTACGATGTGCATGGCTTAAAAGAGATTCCCTTACTCATTCACCCATCTTTCTCACCAAACTATGTAACACTTACACTTTCCTCCTCACTTTCTCCCTTGCCTCTCTTTCACACACATTCACATGAAGAAATCCTATTTCTTTTCATCTTAACAAACAAGTACAAACAAGGAACTTTAACTCTCATACATGCCAAGAAAAATTTAGTTGCTTTATATTACATTAGTAGTATTATTAGTAATATGATCTTGAATTTTATTATTAGATGAAGCATTGTCAGACATTACCCATTTTTGACTAGGATTTCTTCATCTTAATTTCACTTGCGTTTTTATTACATTAGTAGTATTAGTAGTAATATTAGCTTGAATTTTATTATCATTAGATGAAGCATTGTCAGGCATTATTCATTTGTAACTAGGATTTCTTTCATCTTAATTTCACTTGCTTTTTATTAGATTTGTAGTAATATTTGTGGAGTGAAGACTGAAATAAACACCAACACAATGAAACATCAAAAGATAAATAAATGGTTTCTGAGTCAGAGGATCCATGCATCTTTCTGATTAATAAATTAATCCTTTGAAAATAGATATTTAACATTTTTCAACTAACAGGTTGCATTCCCAACAATAAAGTATATGCTTTATGATCCTTTTTGAAGAGTATTTAAGTAAAGTCTTTAGACAGACAAAATTTAGTAAGGAATGGTAACAGATGGCAACTGTTCACGACACAGCTTAAAAGAGATTCCCTTACTCATTCATGTGTCTTCCTTACCAAGCTTTCTTTTTGTAGCCATCATGCCAAAAAGGACCCACTGGAATAGTCTCTCGTACAGGGCAGTTGTCTCTCGTTCAGGGTAGTTGTCTCTTGACATCCTCGTTGGCTCCCTCAGCCCCAACTGCCAAAGCCTTCAGGCACACTCATTTTTATAGACCATGAAGAAGTAGCCGATTAGTTGAGTGGGAGAGTTTTACATATGTGTAACAACAATCACACTTTTCATCTTAACAAAAGCTACAAACAAGGAACTTTTAACACTTATACATGCTGAGAAAGATAAAAAACCATGAAAATAAAAATATTTTATATTTAAAAACCTTTTCATTTTTTTCTTTGTTGTGGGTTGATTCAGATCCGCAGCACCTTGTTTCTTCCAGTATCTGTCTATATTTCTGAGATGAGGTATTATATACACTATTTACATTATTCAGACTATCATCCTCATCTTTGTTGCCATATTTATCACAACATTTAGGCCGTTGTAAGCTCTGGCCTTCTTCAGGTGGTTGGAATGTTGAACTGAACCCTTTATTTCACTCACTGGGGTAAACTGTTCTTGTTCCACATGCCATGTCTAATAGATGCCAGTTATCAGTTATCTCCTGTCAATTCCCCTCTCCAAGTTCTCCACTGCCTTAACCAGATATTAACTCACACTTTTTGGGTCCTGTCACTGGATCGAACGCCTTTATGCACTGTGTCATGTGTCCTTGAGGACATCTGTGTATTTCTGGGATTTATAAACCTAATGACTTCAGCAACCATTTTAACCAGTGCTCATATTGCAATTTTTGCTGTTATCATTGCATGTTTTTTGCCAGAGCTCATATTGCAATTTTTGTTTTTATTATTGCTTTTCTCTGGCACTCCTTATTACTGGTTCCCGTATTGTATTCATTTCTATGCTTGGTCAGCTAAGGATATTTTTGTGGCCTAGCATATGTGCTGATTCCTTAAGTTTATGAATTATCCAGTAATGCTCTTTGTCTATGATTTCAACCTGAACGCAAAGAGGGCGGGGGTTTCCCTTTTCTCTCCATATGTGGTCAGCCACACCTGATTTTTCCACTTCCCCTCATGTTACAAACATTGTGATAAATATGTCAACAAAGATGAGGACAATAGTCCAAACAATGTAAATTTGTTTCCTGTTTAGGATTTAGGATTGGTTTTCTGGTACATTCTAAATTCTACTTAAGTCTTCTTTCTTCTCTTCCACTTGACACTTGTTTCCTCAGCAATTCAGCCACTGCCAAAATTCCTGAGTGACAAAGGTTCTCCAGGCAACAGGCAAAACACTTGCTAGAGAGGAAAAACATTGGCTTTTATAAATCTCCCTTGCATGATCTTATCCCAGTCAATAGGAATGACATGTCTATTAAAAGCTGAAGTATTCAGCTGGTTGACTAAAGGTTGTGAGTTCACTCACTGTGCCGGTTAGTAAATTTTATTTTTATTTTCCTCTCTTTATTTTTTTTTTTTTTTTTTTTTTTTTTTTTTTTGTAGGAGGCACGTTGGTGTAATGGATAGCAGCTCGGATTGAGGAATCTGAGAGCTGAGTTCAAATTCTAGTTGAATCCATTACATTCACTTATGTGCTAATACCCTTAGGAAAGGTATGAATACTCTTCTTCTCCCCCTAGCTCTAACTAAATAGCAGAACAAACTGGGTTCTATAGAATTGGGTGGCAGCTGGTCTAGATGAAGGACAACTCTGAATTCAAAACCTGCAGAGGGTTGTTTGGGGACCTTCATCACTATAATCAAATGATTTGTGCTGGTAGTCTGGCTGTCAGTTTCTTGGAACTGAGTTGCTTGACCTCTCATATATCGAAATATATACTTGAGCCAACCAAAACACAACACATATAGCCTGAAGATTTCATTCAAGCATGAAACAGACTGTCACCGTTTGGTGTTGATCTCAATATCTATTTTATATTTACATATGTTCTATTTCTGATATTGAGCACTTTTATCCATAAATATAACATATCTTAAAACTATATCTATGCTTCACATAGTTATAAAGTAGAGTAGATAGGTTGACCAATAAAACAAATGAAAGGATACTGATGAAATCAGTAAGAAAAACATTTATTAATATTAACCAGGTGAGAAAAATGAAGCACGGTGATTGAGGTTCCAAGTTTGCAATTTTCGAACACACCTGCAAATGCGAAAAATAAACAGCAGGACAGCGGAAACTATCCAACATTAGTTTTTTGAGGTGGGTAGATTCCACTTGTAGGTGGAATTATTAGAAAAAAATCCATTCCCTGTTTGATTTCTCACTGTGCAAAACTTAATATGAAAATAACCTCAGATTTAAAAATTGTGACTGGTGGTTGGTGGTAGGGGAGTGAGTTGTTGAACATGGGGAAAAAAGGGTTGTAGGACCAGGGGTGGGGGTGGTATTAGTGTTGAAAGATTTTGTTTTTGTGAGTTAGGATCTGTGGGAACATAGCAAGATTGTCAATAAAAGTAAACTGAAAGAGAAAAAGAAAAGAGAAAAAGAGAGAGAGAGAGAAAAAAATAGTACAAGAAAGGGATAAAGAATTTTTTTAGGAAAATCATTGTTAGACAATGTGGGGGGGCGGGGATAAACTGAAAAAAATAAAAAAATAATACTAAAAATAATGATAATATGAAAAGGAGAAGTGAAAAAAATATACAAAAATAGATGTGTTATGTATGGAGATAGTCAGAGTGTAACAAGGCAATAAAAATAAAAGAGAAAAAAAAAAGGAAGAAATACTACAAAAAAAGGATTAAGAAATCCTTTTAGAAAATCATTGTCAGAAAATAGGGGGTGTACAGAAAAATAAACTGAAATAAAAACATAATAAAAACTATTAACTGTAATGATAATGTCAATATAAGAAAATGTGGTGGGGGGAGGCAAAAAAAAAAGATGTTTTGTGAACATGAGTGTATCTGACAATGTGTGTGTATATATATATATATATATAAGCATCCACAGTCCTTTAGGGACAATAGTTGTTTGCGAGTGGTGAGAAAGAGAATATCCAACCTTACCTTGACAACCCTCAAATCCACACTAAAAGACAAAATGAAAATAACCTAAAGGAACTTGTCTCACCTTGACAACACTTAACTCAATGCTAGCAGACAATATGGATATAACTTAAAGAAACTTACACTCACAAGATCAAAACATTCCCTATATATATGATTTACTGTAGGAATGCATTTAACATCAGGAAGAAAGAGATGAAGCACATTTTCTTGCATTAAACTTAATTTACATTACTTTAACAGATGGGGGTTTTGATTTTGTGGGTGTGGGTGGGCAGCTTTCTCTAAGATGCATTGCCAAATTTATTTCGTCTTTTTCTCCTTTTTTTAATTTTATAAATTAAAAAAAAAGGTCTGGGGTATTTGTCACAAGTTATATTTGTATCCCATCACCAGGTAGCTGATGAGGAATGTGTTGTTGGAGAGGATTTTTTTCTTTTCTGCAGAGGAACTAAAACAGACAGTGCTGACCTTAAACTTGATTTACTATTCTTGCGTAAGTCAAGCTCAATACTGCTACTACAAAAGTAAAGAGGAACTGAAGGACATATTTATTAAAATTTGAGGAAAATATTGGTAAGAAAACTGGTTCCCTATAGGACACAGAAAAATAATCCATCTGGTTGAGATGTTAAAGTAAGCTCATTCACTTCCATTGCAATATCACGTTTCTTGTGTCATAATCATGTAAGAGTTTTACAGCTTCAACATGGTATAATGAGTAACAAGCTTGTCTCACAATATCAGTTACGACTGAACAGTGAGTACAATCCTCACTGGGTGCCCCATATTTTCAGCCTTGTGCCCCATCTAAGCTACACTTAGTAAATTACCATTTAAGGGACTACAGCCAGATCACACTGAAACACCGGTTCCCATGCAATCACTGAAGTTAAGCAATATTGAGTCTGGTCAGTAACTAGATGGGTGATTGCTAGGGAGTACCAGGTGTTGTAAGCTTGGATGTGTAGGTGGTGTAATGGATAATGGTTCAGAATTGTAAATTGGAGAGCTGAGTTCCAATTCCAGTTGGGTTCATTGCATTGACTTATGCACAAATACCCTTGGGAAAGGTATGAATCCACCTCTTCTCCCCCCAGCTTTGGATTAATTAGTAAAACTTGTATCACTAAATCATTATTATCTCAAAAACAAAATTCTTGCAATCTAAAAATATTTTCTGGCTTTAAATAACCTGCAAATGGTTGACAAACCATAGAAAACAAATCAATCAATCAACAGATGATTGTTAAAGAAAATCAGTGAAATATTGATTAACTACACAGGCATGTCTTAGATTTATTTACATTCTCTGGAATATAAATGTATAGAAACTATCATGGCCACTAAGTGAGGGATTACTTTATATATTGATTGTAAGGTAGAAGTGATCCCCCACTTTATATCCACATTATAATTTCTTGTTTGTTTATCAAATTCTGATTAGGTATGAATCCACTACTTATCCCCCAGCTATAGGTTAATTGGTAAGACTTGTATCACTAAATCATTATTATCTCCAAAACAAAAAAAAAATTCTTACAATCTAAAAATATTTTCTGGCCTTAAATAACTTGCAAAGGGCTGATAACACATAGAAAAGAATCAATCGATCATTCAACATTGGGTTAAACAGTGAATTTTACAAGTTTTAATTTTTTTAAGTGGTGTTTTTTTTTTTGTATTTTTCATATTAATGTAGATTTAAGCATACCAGACCATGAATATCAATTTTAAAAAAATGGTCAAATTGGCAACTATTCTCAAAAATACTCTACAATCAATTTTTAACTGGGGCAAGGAATGGCTTGTTCATTTTAACATCTCTAAAACAAAACTGCCCTCTTTTAATTGTCTTTTCCTTTGAGAAAACCCTTTTTACCTTCCATCAACATGGCTGATGCTAAGCTCTAGGAGAGTGACTTATTGTGCCTTCTTGGACTAACATTTTCTGCTAATATGAAGTGGAAAGATTATATTGAGTCAATTGCTAGGTCTGCTGCTAGGAAAGTTGGTTCACTGTGTTGGGCTAGACAATTTTTCTTGCCAGAATCTATCTTACATATTTATAAGTCTACCGTTCACCCTTCCTTTAAATATTGCTTCCACATCTGGTTTGGTGCTTCTGCTACATATTTAGAGATTCTTGATAAGATACAAAGAATCTGCAATGATATCGGTACTGACCTGGTGTCTCAGCTTCAGTCACTCTCCCACCAACATACCTTCCCTGTGCCTTTTCTATAAATACTTTCATGGTAATCGTTCTGATAAACTTTGCTCTATGGTACAGAGACTTTATGAATTTCAGCACAGTATTAGATTGGTGACAAGGTCTCATCATTTTACAGTTGAAATGGCTAGATGTAACTGCAAGTTCTATGCTAACAGTTTCTTCACTTGCACTTCTCGCTTGTGGAACTCTCTTCCTGATTTTTGCTTTCCAGTCAAGTTTCAAAAATTTAAATGCAATGTTCTGTCTTCTTAATTCTTGTTCTTTTATTGTCCTCTGTTTAATAGTATTTCTTTTTTCTCATATTCGCTAATACTCAGTAACCCCCTTGTGTCTTAGAGGCTTTATTGCCTTGTTTGGGATTAAATGATAAAAAAAATGTTCATATCATGTTATTCTTTCTGTTCCTCAGTTTCAAGCAGATACAAAAATTTAATCATACTTTTCAAAATTCTTTTCATATACTACTATTGAATAAGCACTCCAGATTACAAATTTCAATTTTTTTTTCTTTTGGCTTCTATAGGGGGATCAATTTACAATGAATTTACATAGCAAACTGGACCCCCTCCCATCTTTATTATATTTTATAAAAATTAATAAATTAAATGCCTATTTTTATTTTTAATAATCTAGAGTAATACAAAAAAAAAAAAAGAGAAAAATGTTTATTTCTAGTTGCACTGCCTATTTTAAAACTCTACTAAAATGTCTTATTTTGAGACATGTGTTGGAGTTAGCTCCTCCTTAATTCCCTAATTGTTCACTAGGGGATGCTCTTCCTACACTATAAATACTAGGCAACTTCTTGCCTCGTTCTCTTTTTCACTTTGCATTTCAGCGGACACATTTAAAAATGTGATCTCTCACAGAGATCCGCATTTTTGCCCACTCGTGGGAAAACGCCATGAAACACACATACATATATGTATGAACATTCACCAACATACAAACTGTTTACGTTCACACACAAACACAAATGTTAATGTCTTTGCCACTTGTAAAATTGTTGTTTAATACATATATTTGTTGACATATATATATATATCTGTCTTGTTTGTTTTCTTTTCATCTTCAGTTGGACTAAATTTGAGTCCGCCATGTTCTTGTAGTTAGGCCTTTTAGCAGGAAATAAACGCATGTGTTTCTAATACAACAACACTGTCTTCTACACATGTATAATGTAAAATCTGTGATGAAATGGTACCCCCTTTTTGTTTTGTTTTTTTCCTGCCTCTTCCATAACTCAGAAACTAAAAAGTAAGTTAGTTTGGCTTAAGGTTCTCGAATTATCTTCTTCACAATGGCATGTTGGGATTGCTATATTCACAATGGCATGATGGTATTGCTATATTCACAATGGCATGTTGGGATTGTTATATTCAGTTCTGATAAATTTAGAATTGTTCATTTTTCAGGGTGTTTCACCCATGATGTCATGGGAAATTTTATCAAGAAAATCTCTCCCAAGACACAAGGATATCAGATAATCCTTCCTCGCTATCAGAAGCCATGGCAGCTGCTTTATTCAGGAGATGCCCAATCCTGGGATTCAGTGGCAGGTGAGTTTGTTTTTGTTTTCTGTCTTAATGGGTTAAATTTCTCTAAATCAGTTAAATTATCTATATTTTATGAATAGTTTATTTATATCCTGACAAAATATTAGCAAAATAGTCAACCTGGGTGATTTAATTACTACCTCCAATGTAGTTAAATAGGGGTTAAGCATTCCCCGATATTTGTCTATCTACAAAATATCTCTCAAAGTCTTCAATGGGTTTTAATAACTGTAGAGGAAGCAGCCATGATGATGTGTAATTAGCAAAACTCTCGATAACAAATAGTAAGAGACAAGACAACATAATGAAAAGCAAAGCAACTATAAGACAGTAACAAAGTAAAATGTTCACAAAACAAAAACAGTTTTCCCCGTCCTGAAGAGATGCACGAGATTCTGAAGTCATCTGGAGTCCGTGGTTGAAGTTGATGGCGATTTTTTTTTTTTTTTTTTTTTTTCAATTGCAAAAAATTTACTCTTTATTATTTCATCATATTGTGTAATTTGGTAAATATATCTGTTAAAAAAGATATCAATGTTATTTTCATAGTTGTGTAATTTAGATGACAATTTATTCATTGTGCACTCTGTGTGTGGGTGGGTGTATATATATATATATATATATATATATATATATATATATATATATATATATATATCATACTTATTATAAAACCCAGGTTGTGTGTGTCTGTACGTTTATATATTGGATCGGATTTCCTACATTTTTCAACCGATTTCAACAAAACTTCACAGGCCTACATAAAATTACCTTGCGGTGATTCTGACGGTGCCAAAATTTGGAAAAACACAATTGTTTTTGCACAAAATCAATTTGAAAACATGATTAAGAGGCATCACGAGAATGAAAGGGGGAAAACTCATATCGAGTTATACTTATAAAAACCCAGGTTGTTTGTGTGTGTGTGTGTGTTCGCTTATATATGGGATCAGATTTCCTACATTTTTCAACCGATTTCAACAAAACTTCACTTTTTTTTGGCAGGTAGTGTTTCTTATTGTCTTGCACACTTTTTTCTTTATTTTTACATTCAGAATGCTTTAAAAATTCCATTTACAAGACAATTGTTTATAATAAAATTCTATTCAATTGATAGACTCATAACGATTGAAAACAATGTTTTTGTTTGGGTTTGACCAATTCGTAACAAAACAAAAAAAAAAAAAACTAATTAAGACATGCGTATCCGTCAACCTTAAACAATAATCATTGTCAATTTTATTTTCAGTCTTTATGATGGTTTATACTTGATCTATCTCTTACTGTTACATCCCTGGGCAATACCGGGCTCTACCACTAGTATATAATATATATATATATATATATATATATATATATATATATATATATAATATATATATATACACACACACTCATGCCTCTCCAAAGGACATTTTTAAAGATCTGTGATTAAATAATTGCTTGATTGATTTTGTATTTTACAGTTTACCAACACTGTATGAGTTATTTAAAGCCAAAATATATTTTGCCTTGTAAGAATAATTTTTTAATTTTGTGAGTGAATATTGCATTAACAATTTTTTATTGAGATAACACTGATTTTCTTTGCATACAATTACTATTTAACCAATAAATGGGGGAGGAGATAGATCCATACCTTTCCCAAGGGTATTTGCACATAAATGAATATAAAAAACTCTACTGAAATTTGAACTCTGCTTTCCAATTTCTCATTCCAACTCACTATCCATTACACCACCCACACATCCACTTAACATCTGTGAACTATGTATTGCGATTATAGTTTTTGGAAAAGATATTTCTTATTGCATTGGCCCTGGTTTTTAATTTAAAGTTGTCCTTAGACTTTTTACCACCCAAAGTCTACCCTGTTATTTAACCCATAACTAGGGAAAAATACATTCTTTGCTTTTACCAAGGGCATTAGTAAAAATGAACTCAACAGACTACGCTGGAGCTTGAACTCATATTGCCTATTCCACTTTCCACACACGGATAACTGTCATTCTGCTCATGTATCCCAAATAAATTTGCTTTATAAAATTAAATTCATTATAACTTTCTTTTTGTTTTAGAAACTTATGGCTTTCAAAATACCCGCTACTGTTGTCGGGAAGTTGACTGTGATGGTTCGGTTTGCTCAAAATTTGTCAGGATTATATT